CCACTATTAATATATAACCCATTGGCTGGAGAAGACGGTGGCAGATCTCCAGTTTTATAAGATTAGACATTTGAGAGTTGACTAGAATGGAGCTGCATTCCTGAGGCACTTCAGGCCAGTGTTTTTCTACATTGAAAACTTTTCCCTTCCTTTGGAATGGCCAGGTCATACTGCCCAGTAGAAAGCTAGGTGAAATTGAAGGACTAGTTCAGAGGTCCATGAAAGAGATCTGGGTTCATTTGGTGGGCCTAGATAGTCCTGGATACAAAATAGGGAGGAGCAGCTGGAGATATATGGGTCCCTAAGATGAACTGGGGTTGAAGTAGGCTGTGGAGCCTTAGCAGAACAGAACAGCCCTTATTCTTGTGTACTCAGGTTATGGTAAAGTCTTAAGTTCAGACTGCTGCTGTGAACATTATCATGGAAGGCAAAGTAGCTTAAGCCTAATGACCTGAGTTCAAACCCTTTTACTGCCAAAAATATTAAAAAATTAAAATTAACAAAGACAGAAGATGTTAAAAAAAAGAAAAAAATGCAAACGAACCAAAAATGAAAACCAAAACACAAAAGACAAAACAAAACAACAACAACAACAACAACAAAAACCCCAAGTCATTCAGGATTGTGAGTAGTTTTGTAGCTTAAAATGGTTTACAGTCAGAAGTGTTTCCACCAGAGCAGGCAAATGGTACAAATCAGGCTTCTCTGCCAGCACTCCAAACTGGCTTGTCAGAACAACTGGGCTCCCTTCACCACTCTACTGGTATTCAGGAGCTTCCTGAAGGGCCATTTGGCTTCATGCCTTGAGTGAGTACCTCCCAGGTGGATGTATTATGCTAGGTATAAGGGAAACAATGAAACAATTCATGCTGGAGAAGAGCATGCCAGCACAAACAGGCCTTGGGCCAGTGGCTTACCCTTGGGCTATGGAGAGGACTGCTGAGAATATGTAGAGTCCCCTGGCACACAAGTGCTCTTGAGTGCTGAGGTGGGCAGAGATGTCAAGCGATGGCTTTACTGTCATGTGACATGACATACAAGGGAGGGGTGACTGGTTCAGTGTAAGACAGGTCAAGTCTTTATATACTGTGGTCCCCAAAGCCAGATTTCAAAATTTTTCAGGGTGGATTTCTCACAGATGGACTTCCGTGGTCCTTGTCTGAAAGTCACTGCAGCATATTGCTTTTACTGCTCTTTAGCCTGCATCTTGCTATATATAATTTAATAGGATAGGTTTGTAGGTCAGCACCAGGAGAGCTGACCTGGTGCTGACCTCTTAACACTCACCTACTTTGTCAAGATTCTTTTTTTTTTTTTTTTTTGGGTCCAGTCATAGGGCCTGAACTCTGGGTCTGGGCGCTGTCCCTCAGCTCTTCAGCTCAAGGCTAGCGCTCTACCACTTGAGCCACAGCACCACTTCCAGCTTTTTTTTTTTGCTTATGTGGTGCTGAGGCATCGAACCCAGGGCCTCATGCATCCAAGGCAAGCGCTCTACCACTGAGCCACCTTTCCAGCCCCTGTCAAGATTCTTAATGTTCTGGAATCTTAGTTTCTAATATAATAATCTAGATGTACTATTTGGGTAATTTTGAGGATTCATTGAGAATGTATGAAGATAGTCAGACACTTCCCTATCTGTGAACCTCAAACTGAATCTAACCTGTCTTTATTGCTTTGTCTCCCTTTGATGCTCCTTAGTTCTGTGTCTTTCCTAGGACTGTACATATACCTGCTTCTGCCTAGGTTTTGTTTAAGAGGCAAACAGCACTGTAGTAAAAAATTAAGGGCTGTGGTCAGTCTCAGCTCTGTTGCTTATGCTAGATGGCAGTGGGCAAGACATTTACCTTCTTCAAACCTCCATTCTTTCTATCTGTAAAAAGGAAATGGTGTCTCCTATCAGATTATGAGGATCAAGTTCATCCTGGAAAGATCTAGATTCATGCACGGCACATGCTAGTCACTGAAAATTCCTTAGGCATCCTTCCTACTGCCATTCTTCCTGCCGTCATTATCCCTCAAGGTGTGGACTAGCGATCACTGGCTTTGTAAAACCTTGCCTTGTTTTCCTGTGCCATCTCTAATTCTCTGCCCGGTGATGTTTACAGACTACCATATTTGAGCATTTCCTAGGTCAGGTACTTTCCTAAGCATATTACAGATGTAAGACTACTAGTATGTTCTCATCTCTACCTTTCCTTTGAGATTATTCAAATTGTTTTTTGTGTTGTTTTGGTGTTATGAGATAGAGTCCCATTATGTAGCCCAGGCTGGTCTCTAACTGTTTCACCCTTGCAAATGCTTACCACACCCAGCTTGAAATAGACCAAATTTTTGAAAGTCAAATTCACCTTGACAGGAGAACGGAGGACCCCTGACATGTCATATAAAAACTTTTTTCTTTCCTCTGTGGAAAAAAAATAGAATTCGCAAATTAACTAATATATCCTCATTTTCTAGATTTGACAAATATTTTTCAAATGAACACTATGTGTGCACACTGCACTTAGTGCTGGAATACAGTGGTGAGTGTGAATAGTAACCCTTACTTCTGCTCACACTGAAATGAATCAAACAGAAATAGCTTCAGATCCATACTTTCGCTAAACATCTTTTGAATGCTCAATAATCACGTGTGGTTCCTATCTGCACAGCTGTATAATGCAAAGTTTTAGTATACAGTGCTTTTCTATAGGAGGAAGGAGGCTGATACTGACTAGATAGCCATAAATAGAAGTATAATGGCCATTGTGATAAGTAGTAAGTAGAAAGGCCATATGGTGACCTGTTTCATAAGAGGACTTGACTGCTTTGATGGCTTCCTCAAGGAAGGCGTGTTTGAACTAGATGAGCTAAGCACTTGGGAGTTAGCAAAGCCCTGTGGTGAGAGAGAGCAGAGTAATTAAAGGGACTGAGAGAAGGCTAATGACTGGGGTGGAGGAGTTGAGGAAAGGTTTGGGTGAGATGAAGCGGGAGAAGGACCACAGAGGGCCTTGTAGAAAGAAGATAAAGAAACTGGAAGGCTGAGTAACTTGACTCTCTGGTTAGTGATAGAACCTGGATTTTACTTCAAAGTCTATGCTGGGTAATAAATGTATGTTCAAAGGACTTTGTTCTGTAACAAACCTCCCACATTTCCCTCTACTGGATTATGATCATTCTGTCTTAGACAAACAAAACCAAAAAAACCTTTCTTGATCCTACATCTCTTCAGGTTCTTTTCTGTATCTTTTTTTTTTTGTTTGTTTTACTTTGTTGTTTGAAAGCAAAACTTCTTTAAAAAGCTAGCTAAAGTTACTACTGCCATTTCCTGACTTTCTGTTGCTGATTGAACTATCTGAATTTCTTCTTCTCATTATTCTCATGAAACAACAATGACCTCCAACCTCCATCACCAGCCTCTTATCTCACAGGATTTCTCAGCAGTTCGTCTTATATTTGATACTGTCTTCCTCCTGTCAGGAGTACTTTTCAGTGGCTTCTGAGACACCATGCTGTCTGGACTTCCTCACACCTCCCTCTAGCTTTTCTCTGGCTCCTTCGCTAAATCCTTCTCCTTTGCAGTTTGATGTGCATGGGCTGTGACTGGATTATCTTCCCTAAACATATTCACCCCTTGACAGTTCCATTTAACGCCTTCTAATGTAAGAATTCGTGCACTGATGGGTTTTGTTTATTTAATTAAAAAGAAAATCACTATGAAGTTCCTCAGGGGATCTGTGCAATAATTTGCTTACCTAAGAGCCATGTGATCTGAAAAATGCCTCATCTAGCCTTTACCAGGCTGTTAGAAAATATGGATTACAATCACTTTGACCTATCTGTCCATACAAGATGCTTGTCAACTCAAAGGCCCTTGGAATTAATCCTTACCAGTGGCATTTAGTATAGTATTCCAAGTTAAAAGATTTAAAAATTCCTCTCCAACTGAAGTCATGCTTTTCAAAAAGCTGTGCTTTTTAATGTATATTTAAGAATGAATCATTCATGACCCTGGTTCATGGCCTGTTATAGGTTAAATAAGACATGGCATAGAAATGGTTAATGCAGAGCTTGGCTCAGGAGGAATCAGGCATGGGTGTCTTGGGTTCTCTTAGTTCCAATTTTCTCTTCCTCACAGTTTTTAATCGTTAGTCTTCAGTTGCATTGTTTTGGAACAACTGAGAGCATAGGCTGGACCGTATGTTTAATGTGTGCAGATAGGTGAGAAGCTAAACTAAGCCTCCGACTTTCACCTTGGAAAGAGAGGCAGGAGGTGTGGTGTCCTAGCCCGACTTAGAAGCTGCCACCCTTTCACCTGTGTCTTTTTCCTTTACTCTGGCCTTGTCCTGACTAAGAAGGGGTAAAGATGAGAATCTACTTATTCATCAACCATTCGGTCACCTAAGGAGGGACGGTGGAGAAGAGCATAAGAGCTGGGTGGTCTGGCAGGGCAGGAGGGCAGGGCCCTCTACGGCAGCTGCAAGAAGCTTGGCACAGCTGGAGCTGAATCTACTGTTTTCCTCACAGCATACAAGGCAACCCCAAACTCAAAACTCAAACCAGGAGGAAGTGCTCTGCTCTGCGGGGAAGCACTGCGTCACTTCGCAGGATTAGTCAGGGTGAACTACTAGATGTTTCTTTAAAAAGCCAGATAATAACTTCCTTTAGGGAATTACCAAAGTGAGTAATCCATTGCCTTCCGGCAGTGGGTTCCCTACTTCTGCGGAGTTCTTAAAAGTCAGATTACCCAGGTCACTCGGTGTACAGTCCCCAGGTGATCAGAATGTCGGGATGGGGGCCAGGGTGTGTGTGTGTGTGTGTCACGTGATCACCTGCCACTGCAGAGTCCAGGTCGTTCAGTTCACACACACAAGGACTTGCTCCAGGGTCCCCACGTTCCTTCCGCCGCGAGAGCGATGTCGCCCCATTAGGAGCTGTCCCTTGGCGGCCGGCCCGGGCTGCACGGGGCTGGATTTTGCTTCGTCATTCTGACACGGGCGGTTCGCCGCCCTCCTCCAGGGCAGGGCGTGGCTTCCCGCAGCCCCGGGGAGCCCGGCACCCTTTTCCCGGGGTTTGCACCGGCCCTGGCAGTGCCTCGGCGGACGTCGGGAGGAGAGGGGCTGCGGGAGACCAGCCTGTGGGCCTTCCAAGTCCGGAGTGGGTTCCAGCCCCAAGCCGCTGCGACCCGACCACCCTGGCTCCGGCCTCGATGTGAGTGCACCGGGGGGATCGGGACGCCGGGGTGGGGATCGGGCGGCGGGGGCGCCTCCTCCCTCCTCCCCGGCTTCGGCCTAGGGTGGTGGGCGGCTGGCGGCTTCCACCTCTTTCTCCTGGCAGAGACAGTGAGCAGGCTCGGCGGAAAGGGAGTCTTGGAACGTGGGGGGCAGATTCTTGACAGCACCGAGCTCGCCCTCACGGGTGCGCGCCGCCTCGTGCCCAGACCGGTGCCCGGGGAGACCGGCGTCACCAAGGGCGCCTGTCCGCCCGGGCCCAGGCCGTGCGAGCGCAGCGCTCGCCACCGGAGGCTGGCAGGGCCACGGTGCGGACCGCCCGCTCCGGGTCGAGGCCCGCCTCCGCCTTTCACTCGCTGCGTGAACGTGGACCAGTCGGGTCGCTTTTCCGTGCCTCCCTCCGTCCGGGTGCAGTGGCGGCGCCCGGTGCTCGCGCGAGCCGCGGGGCGGCCCTCGCTGTGAGCCGGCTGCACCCGCGCGCTGGCGTCCGTGGTTTTTACCCTGCCCCTCATTTCCCGAGGGCTGCCGTGCCTCCTCCACATCCTTCCCTTCGGCCAAGTCCCCGAAGCGCCTGCTGGCGGCTCCCAGGCCGCCTGGAGGCCATGTTTTCTGCGGTTCTGGGTGTCTGCGGAGCGGGGCGGGCGGGCGGCGCTGGCGGGAGCCGCCGGGGGACGCGGCGCGCGCGCGGCCGGAAGCCCCGCCCCGCGGACCGTGTTCCCGCCTCCACCGCCGCCGCCGCCGGCCTCGGTCACCTCAGCCACAGCGGCCGCCGCCCTGCGCTCCGCGCTGCCAGCCGTCCGGGCCCGCCCGCCCGCTTGGTGCGCGGCCTTCCACCTGCCGCCCGACCCACGGCCAGCGTGGGCTTGGGGAGGCCGAGGGGCCGACGGAGGGCCGCCGCGGCCCGGCCTTGGAGGTAGGAGAGCCACGTGGCCCTTTCCCGAGCCCCGGGTGTGGGCGCCGCGGGAGGGCTGCCTGCGAGCCCACCGGGGAGCCCGATGCTCGCGCGCCGGCCCCCGCGCTCCCCGGACCCGCCCGCGCCTTCCGTGCGGGGCCTCCCGCCCTGCTGCCCCCCTCCCGGGTCTCGCCTTCCGCCGCGTCCATCCCCTCCCCCTGCCTTCCCCCTCCCACGCCCCTCTCCCCCTCGTCTCCTGGGACCCCTTCCGCTGCGTTCCTCCCCGCCCATCCTCTCCCTGCTTTCCTTCCCCTACCCTTGTCTTCCTCCCCCCCTTCCCCTTCCCCTTCCCCCCTTCCCGCACCTCTTCCCCCCCCCCCCCCCCACACACACACTGGAAGCGACCTGGCGCTTGGGTACTGGGTGGGTCTCCCTTCACCAGAATAGATAACTTTTTATGGTGGTGGGTCTGTAACTGCTTTGGTTGACTACCAGGTTCGAAAAGCCTCTTAGTCCCAATACCTTGATTGTCCCGTCGTGATTTGTGGAGGTTAACTTTGTCTTGAACCTTTTGTGTCCATGCAACTTTTAAGAAATGGGACTCACATTTGAACATTACCCCCTGAGAAATAAATGCCAGGCCTGCACTAAGGGTGAAATCTTAGTGCGTGTGCCCTTCGGAAGTACATTAACAACTAATCCACATTTTTATTTAATAACTCATTTCTTCTAAAAGAATCTTCCTTTTTTAAAATAACTTGAGTGTAGGAAAGGGAGCTAGACATCAAAGACAAATAGCAAATTAATGGAAAATAATTGAAGACAATTAAAGAAGCTTTTAGCTTTAAATGAATTGTATTACTCAGATCGTTAGTTTGCAACTAAAATGAAAGAGATCTATTAATGTTTCTTCCTGTCTGATATTTCTTTTCACCAATGTCATAAATTTAATTATATAGGTATTTAGTTTTCATACAGTCCTATTGATGCTTCTGATTTTAACATCAGTGTGAGTAAAAGTCATTTGTTGTTGTTGTTGTTGTTATTGTTTGCCTGTCCTGGGGTTTGAACTCAGGGTCTGGGCACTGTCCCTGAGCTTCTTTTGCTCAAGGCTAGTGTTCTACCCCTTGAACCACAGTACCACTTTTTCTGTGCATGTGGTACTGAAAAATCGAACCCAGGGACTCATGCTTGCTCTGCAAGCACTCCATTGCTGAGCCACATTCCCAGCCCCAAAAGAGTCAATTTTTATAAGCTTTGGAACTGACTTTATACATCTGAAATTCTCAATTCCATGAGATCACTGAACAACAAGCATGACATCCATACATATTTAATTACTTAGACATAAGTAAACTTACTCTTCTACTTTGTATCATCTGATTTAGTATTGTTTCTAATGAGTGCCAAGAAATGGATTAGGAGAGACACAAGTTACTAACTGCTGTTTCACATGTCTGTAAATGTCCAACCAGATGTGGCTTGGGGAAGTGGTGGTGGGGGGGGGGGGGACTAAGTGATTTTTTGTTTTGTTTTGTTTTTGGTTTGATCATAGGGCTTGAACTTGGAGCCTGGATGTTGTCCTTGAGCTCTTCAGCTCAAGGCGAGCACTCTACCACTTGAGCCATAAAGCTACTTCCGGTTTTCTGGTGGTCAGTTGGAGATGAGTCTTGTGGACTTTCCTGCCCTGGCTGGGTTTGAACTGTGATCCTCAGATCTCAGCTTCCTGAGTAGCTAGGATTACAGGCGTGAGCCACTGGCACCTGGCTTGGACATTCTTTTAACATAGTAGAAGAGATGGCAGACATAAAACAGTGCATCATTAACATGTAAGTGGGAATTGTATGGACTGTTGTGTACATGTAATCATGTTATTCTCAGGCTTGCCGGCCCCACTGTCCATCCTTAGGATAAGCCCTGCAGCACGGGCTGTATGAAGTCTGCCTTCTAAAGTTACCTAATGTCAGACTCTTAACTAAATAGCTTCCAGGAAGTGAATGGTGACTCTTTCCATTTTTTTTAAACTTCTACCAAATAACTGCCAAACAGCCAGAAAGCTTTTTCTTTGAATTCTTTTGGAGAACAAGTAGTGCTGTAACTACTTTTCGCTTGGTTAAGGATGGAAAGATTGCCTTCAAGGTGCAGGAAGTGTATAGGTTCTCTGGCTTACTTGAGAGGAAAATGAGGGCAAGGACTAATGAGATTTCAGAGGGTCACAGGCTGAGGATGTAGTTTACTGTTAGAGCTCTTGCCTAGCATCACAGAGCTCCCAAGTTTCATCCCTAGCATGGCAAATAAGTGAAGAATGGATGAGGCATAGATTGTTGAGGCTATAGATAAATTAGTCTTGTGAAGATGATCTAAGTGTTGCTGCCTGTGGATCCATTTGGGGATAAAACACATCCATCCTTCTTTCACTTCTGTTGTCCAGTGACAACACAAAAGTTTTTGCTTTGTCCAGTCTTTTACCATGATATCACCATTCTTTTGGTGGTCCAGGCTTTCAGTTTTCTCTGGCCTTTCCCATCTGTCTACTTGTCTAAGCCTGACTGTGTGCCTACTGCCTCCATTTCGTGTTTCCTGTTTATATCATGTCCACAGTCTCTAACTGGCCTCCTCAGAACTCCACCTTCCCAACCAATCTGCTGCCAGTCATCTTCCTGATTATTACTTTCCTGTTGCTAGCTCTTCATCCAGGATAAAGGACACACTTATTTAGTGTACTGTCTGGGGACCAGGCCCAACCTGCTTTTCCTATCTCTCTTGTTCTGCTCCTGCACTGTGTATATTGTATATATTCCTGGATATATTGTAATAATGAGTCTCTAAAATTTTTTTCTTTTCCTTGTTTTGTTCTATATTTTAATTCTTTTTTTTTTTTGGTCGGTTGTGGGGCTTGAACTCTGGGCCTGGCACTGACCTTGCGCTTCTCAGCTCAAGGTGAGCACTCTACCACTTGAGCCACAGTGCCACTTCCGGTTTTCTAGTGGTTTACTGGAGGTAAGAGTCTCACAGACTTTCCTGCCTTGGCTGGAGTTGATCCTCAAATCTCAGCCTCCTGAGTAGCTAGGATTACGGGCATGAGCCACTGGCACCTGGCTATATTTCAATTCTTGACGTCTCTTTCTGCCCCAATCCAGCTTTCTGGTTTCCTACCTATTTAGAGTACCAAGCCCTCATTTGGCCATTCCGTCCATCCTCTTTGTCCCCATAGCACTCCTACAAATCTTTTTTGTTGTTGTTATTGTTGTTGTTATTGTTGTTGTTGTTGTGGGGTCTGAACTCTGGGCCTGGGCACTGTCCCTCAGCTCTTCAGCTCAAGGCCAGCGCTATACCACTTGAGCCACAGCACCACTTCCAGTCTTTACAGCTTATGTGGTGCTGAGGAATCGAACCCAAAGCCTCATGCATGCAAGGCAAGCACTGCTGTCAGTCATCTTCCTGATTATTACTTCCTTGCTGCTAGCTCTTCATCCAGGATAAAGGACACACTTATTTAGTGTGCTTTCTGGGGGGCCAGGCCCAACTGACCCACCTTCTCAGCCCCACTCCTACAAATCTTTATTTCTGGAAAACGAGGGATTCTGTCAATAGTAAGTTTTTGGCTCACTATAAAAAGGGTGGAGAGCTATGCTTATTCTGTGTGGTTGCAAATGTATGATAGTACTATCTAAGTGAATATGCCTTTTATTGATAGTCAGTGCCATTTATCAAATGTTTCTTGTGTGCTAGGTTCTAGATCCTCACTGAAGGAAGTGATGTTAGCCAGTATTGCAGGGAGGAAAATAAAGGCCTCCAGAATTAAAGGTGTTAGAGATCACTCACAGCTAGGGCTGGATCTGAGGTCCTCTTGTATATGAAGCCCACTGTAGTGTTCTCATGCCCCTGGCTCTCCTGTGTTACTTGGAGCACGCCTGCCTCCTTTAGGCAGTTGTATGCTCACCAAGTCAGGATTGAGCACATGCAAATCCTGGCATTCTTGTGATAATTCTGGCTCACTAGAGACATTTTCATTTGAGGCTTTGGAGGCTAGTAGACTGGAACTTTGTTCTATTGTGCCTACTAAATTAGAGGAGCAATACATTCTT